AAAAAAAAAAAAAATAAGGAAGGCCCAGAGGGGCACGATTCGCTGGTCACCGCGGAGGTTGTCGTGGCTCCCGGCCTTCCCGCCCCCTCCTCGGAGCGCAGAGCCCAGCGCTCGTCCAGCCCCCAGGACTGGCTGCTTCTCTGGCTGCTTCTCTGGCTGCTTCTCTTGCGAGACACTGCGGTGTTGGGAAAGGAAATGGACTTTTACTGGAAACCCGGGCAAGGTTCGGACGGTGGCGAGTGTAGTCTGGAAAACGGCTAGAAAACAATAAAATGTCCAGACCCAGGAGACCGCAAGTCCCGAGGGAGGCCCTCAGCTTTTACCTTTGGGTCCTGTGAGGTTGCAGGGATCGGTTTAAGGGGAGACCGAGAAGGGCGACCTCCAGAAGCTTGGCGGTGAGAATACATCCTGGAGACTGAGAACAGGTTGGTTGGATCTAGATGAGGCCGACGTTTGAGTGATGGGGCTCACGTTGAACAGGGTGAGGCGGCTGCAGGGTTCACAGTTGGGGCAGAGGACACGTGGAGTTTCTATTGAAAGCAAAGCCTGAGAGGAGGACTTGTGTGCCAGGTGATTTATTTGGGAAATAATCCCAGAATAACAGTAGCAGGAGCCATGAGACCAGGAGAGAAGGGTGTGTCGCACTGAGCTGTTTGCCTCTGTGGGCAAATGGGGCTCAGTTTCTCTGGGACCTCTACAAAGCTTCTAGAATATTCCTTAGGATAGCCACTTTGGTGTGTAGCCTTTGCACCTGCGCTGGGTGACAGCTCACCGCCACGTCAGGGCTGCTCCCGCGGCAATGGCGGAAGCAAGGTGTGCCCAGGATTCCAGGAAAGCCCAAAGGGCAGCCAGCCGCTGAAGTCAGAGCAGGGCCAAGGGGGAGTGAATCCGGGCACTTACCTGACCTTGGTCAGCTGGAGAAGTAAGAGAGGACAAGAGACAGACACATTTCTCAGTGCTCACCAACCTAAGGAAGACGCTCTACAGGCCTTCTCTCCACCTTCAAAAGGAGGTGTCCTTCTCCTTTGACGAAAAGGGGAGCTGAGGCCTAAGCCATTTTTTCCAAAAGGAGCTGCTTTGAAGCACCTGAGTTCCATTTCAGTTACCCCGATTGCTGAGAGACCTCTGGGAACCACAGAACGCTAGCTCAGATAGAGGCAGTTTCTGGAAGGTCCTCTGGCCTTTTTGTCCAAGACTTTAAGGCCCAAGTCAACTCAGACACCAAGTCTTGCTTGATCCTCAGGCCCCGCAGGCTGCAGCTACTATCTCTGGCTCCCAACCTGCACCCTGCACCTCCCTGCCACCTCGGGGACTCAGCTCCTTGGTTCTCTCTTCTCCCACAGCCTCTCAGGTCTCAGCATAAATGTCATGGTCGCTTTCTCAGAGAGGCCTTTGCTGTCACCAAATCTAAGTAGCTGTCACCATCGGCTCCATCATTGTTTTATTGTCATCAGAGCAATTAAGAGCTGCTGCGTTTTTTTCATCATTTATCTACCTGTTTATTGTCCTCCTTCTAAAATATTAGATCCATGAACATGGTGGCTTGTGATTTCCTTGCTGCCCTCCTGGGCTTGCCACACCGTGGCAGCTCAAGAAATGGTTTTCCTGGGAGTGTGTTTCCTTCCCTGGGCTTCCACACAGCCCCTGCTCTGTTCTGCCCAAGCTGAGTCCCGCTCTCCTCCGCAGCCGCCGAAAGCACCGTGGACCCCAATCCCACTGCTGCCTTCCAGGCCCTTGTGGATGGAGTGACCAGCTGGGATGTCCCTGGAGACTCCGTCCCCTGCGAGCTGCTTCTCACGGGAGAGGCCGCCTTCCCAGTCATGGTCAATGGCCAGGGGCAGGTGCTCATCGCCGCCTCCTACTATGGCCGTGGCCGCCTGGTGGTGGTGGCCCACGAGAGTTACCTGCTGGATGTCCGCTTGGCCCACTTTCTTCTCAATGCAGTGGGCTGGCTCTGTCCCTCATCCGGGGCTCCCGTTGGGGTGCACCCAAGCCTGGAGTCACTGGCAGACATCCTGCAGGGCTCTGGGGTGGGGGCGCAGATTCAGGGAGATCCGGGTGAGGCCCAAGGGGTTTATTGCATCAGTGCCTACGATGATACCATGCCAGCACAGCTGATCCAGTTTGTGAAAGCGGGGGGGGGCTTGCTCATCGGGGGCCAGGCCTGGCATTGGGCCAGTCAGTACGGCAGTGACAAGGTGCTGTCCAGATTCCCCGGAAACAAGGTCACCTGTGTGGCCGGAGTGTACTTCACCGACACCTACGGAGACACAGGCCAGCTCAAGGTCTCTAAGAAGGTGCCCAAAATCCCACTCCATGTCCGGTAAGTGATGCTGCCTGTGATGGTGCCTGGTGCATAAATACATTCGATTCCTCTTCTGTGACCTTCTGCTGAAAACTACAAATCAGATATAGGATCATTAAGCGCCCCAAAGCAGAAGAGGGACTGGGTCCCCATTGCCATCCCCTATAATGGCCCAAGCTCTAGTGACTCGCTCAACAAGCTGATCTCGCTTTCTGTCCCCTGAGTATGGTGCCTGGGACATGCAGAACACTTAGCAGCAGCTCCTGAACACATGAAAGGACAGATGTTCACTTGTAGCATGAACCCTGTGCCAGGCCCCACTCAGGGCAGTCCACCGTCTCGTGGCTTGTATTCTGCTGGAAAATTGGGCAGTTAAGGAGACAGACAGGGACTTCAGCAAATGTGATAAGAACCTCCAGGAAAGGAAAGCGTGATAAGCCAGTAGAGTAAAGAGAGGGTCTGGGCGGAAACTGAGCTGTCAGGCTAAGTCAGTCTGAGTTTACTGTGCAGAAGCTTCTAGATGAATGTTGCGGGAACTGAAAACCCCCAGAGTGGGTGGCAAGGGAACTTCTTTCCTCTCCCAGCGCTCCCCGACCTGTATAAGCTCTTTAAGGTACAATGGTAGACCTGAGCCTGTCACTTTTAATTTAGAAAACCACCTCACGGCTGGGAGCCCTCACACTAGGCTGCCAGTTCTGTTTCAGTGGCCCAAACCGGTGCACTTGGCCAACGCCAGCTTCCAGGGAAGGGCTGAGTACTGTCAGGGAGCACTTCAGAGCCTGAAGGAATGGTGTGCCACGAGGCATGGTGTGCACCCAGCAAGGTGGGCTCTGGGACTTCCTGCCGGGGGCTGGCCACGGGGAGGTTGCTCACAAAGTCATTGAGTCACTCCAGCCTGGCTCTGATTCTGACCGGCAGACGGTTACATTTCATCAGCTTGAATGGTTTAATTTCCTAAGTCTCTTGTCCAGCAATTTAACCTGCTTTTCTGCATCTGCATCTATGTTTTTTTTTTTTCTTCTTTGACGCTGAATCAAAGGTATGTTTTATGCTTGTGTTAACTTTTGATGATGGAAAATTTCCAACTTCTAAACTTCAAACTCTAATTCAAAGCAGAAGTGACATTCATGGAAAGATCCCCATCCTGGGATCCCCCCAACTTGCAAACTGACCAGCTCTTAGCAATCTCACTTCCTATACTGACCCCATACCATGCAATCCCATCTGTATTACAATCTGTTTCGCTCTAGGTAGAAACTCTAGTGAAAATATTACCAGAAGGCCCGTTCATTATCACACCTAGAAGAATTAGTTCATCCTTAAATGTTATCGCTCGTTTCTGTGAGTCTTACTTTTTCCTCTAGGTCTGTTGAGGTTGGTATTTAGGTTGCTTGACGTGTCTTTGATGTCTTATATGTGAGTTTCCCTTCTAGCCCCTTCTTTCTTGCTGTTCTCTAGCAGTGGTCAGGAGAGCTAGAGACTTTGTCCTGATGGATTCTTTTCGTCTGAATCCTGCTGGTTCCATCCCTATGGTGCCCTTGAATACATCTCTTCCTTCCCTGTAGTTCCTGTTGTAAATACAAACCTCAAGATTTCACAATCTCTACTTCCCATCAGAAGCAGAGGTCTGCAAGCAACCTCTGTGCCCACGCAGATTTCTCTTTCCTCTGAGCTGGTTTCAGTGCCTTGCTAACAGACTGCGGTCCCTCTGTCCTTCCTACCTGTTGCTTTGCAGGTGTGGGGAGGATCTCAGGCAGGACCAGCAGCAGCTCCTGGAAGGGGTCTCCGAGCTGGACATCGAGACGGGGGGCATCCCCTCACAGCTGCTGGTGCACGGGGCGCTGGCCTTCCCTCTGGGGCTGGATGCCTCACTTGGCTGCTTCCTGGCGGCCGCCCGCTATGGCCGGGGCCGTGTGATCCTGGCTGCCCACGAGGGCCTGCTCGTCACTCCCAAGTTGGAGCATTTCTTGCTCAATGCTGTGCGCTGGCTGACAGCTGGCCGGACAGGCAAAATTGGGGTGCACTCCAGCCTTCCGGAACTGTGCGTGCTGGCGTCGGGGCACAACCTGCCATGCAGCCTGCAGTCCCAGCTCACTGGGGACTTGCAGGTCTACTGCTGCAATGCCTACAGCGCCGAGGAGGCCCAGCGGCTGCAGGAGTTTGTGGCCGAGGGCGGGGGCTTGCTGATCGGGGGCCAGTGCTGGTGGTGGGCCTCGCAGAACAAGGGCCTCTCGGCTCTGGCCAGCTTCCCCGGGAACATCATCCTCAACCGCTTTGGCCTCAGCATCCTCCCTCAGACCCTCCACCCGGGCTGCTTCCCTGCCCCCAGCCCCGAGATGCACAGCTACCACTTCCGCCGGGCGCTGTCTCAACTCCAGGCCGCCCTGAGCCACCAGGCAGGGGAGGTGCCGAAGAGCTGGCTGGCAAGGCTGCGGGTGGATGTCACGGGCTTCCTCCAGATCCCCGCAGCTGGGGTCCCGGCTTACTCGTCCCTGCACCGACTGCTGAGGAAGACGCTGGGCCAGTCCGGCCTGCCGGCCGTGGGCAAGGAAAACCCCGTGGCCGGTGACTCCCGCGAGGCTGTCATCCTCTGTCTGGCCACGGAGCTGGCCCGCGCCGGCACTGACTGCTCCACGCTGGCACAGGGCCTGGGAGGCTGTGGCTGCAATCCCAGCTGGCTCCCGTCTGAAGACCCCGTCACGCTGGAGATTGACGGAAACAACCCAGGTATAAAATAGGAGCGTGTGCCCGGCCCTGGGGGACGGTGGGGTCGCTGGATCCAGGGACTCTCAGCAGGATGGGGGGCCGGGCCCAACGTGGGTTGAGGAGGGCTGAGTGCCGGGAGCCTGGAGGAGTTGGAGAGATGAAGGGGGACACTGAGGGTCCCCGCAGAGTGGGATCAGGTGGGGGAAGGACTCATCCCTTCCTGTGCCTTTGTCAGGCCACGGTGATTCCTGGGTCAGCACCGGACGCTACCTGCTGAATGGACAGAGTGCGGAAATCTCCTTGCTGTCTGAGGCTGCAGCTTCTGCTGGGCTGAGGGTAAGGCCACACTGCTGCAGCGAGCACCCCAAGCCCTACAGCAGCTGGGCTCAGTCCTCCAGTATAGGTCAGGGGGGTGGTGCCCATTTTACAGAATTCGCAGGGAAGCAGCAGGAATTTGGGGGGCTAAGGGAGTGGCCGTCGAGGTCCGTGCTCCTGACAGCGGAGCTCGGTGCTCAGCCCACGTGAGGGGCTGTTCACCTGCCGCCAGGAAGCCCGAGTGCCTGGCACATCCAGAACCGCACCTGCTTCCCCGCTGCCCACGGTCCTGGGTTTCACCTGTGCGCTGACCCTGACGAGCACATTTAGTTGACGCCACGGACACGCGGCACTGCTTGCAGAATTAGCCCTCCCAGCCAGGGGCTGACGCTCACTTTCCACCACTCTGCATCAGGTGCACCCCACCCGGAGCTCACTCACATGAACCCCCAGTCCCCAGGAAGGGACCTCTGAACGGGGTCGGGGGAGAAGGGAAGAGGGGGGCACCCCCGCACCTGCGCCTCCCGCCTGAGCGCAAAGGCAGGAAAGGACCGAGCACAGGCATCAGCCCTGACTGGAGTCCTGACGCAGGGCCCAGGGCTCGGCCAGACGGGGCACCTCGGGGCCCAGCAGCACCAGCCTCGACCCACGTGGGCTGCTCAGTGGCGCAGTGCATGTGGCTGTGGGTGCTTACTGTCCACCATGCATCGCTCAGAGAAAGGGAAGCTGGCATGTTGGCAGTGCCCCCGAGCCCCACGCACTCCCCGGGGCTCGGTCCTCCCACACCTGCAGGTCCAGATTGGCTGCCACACCGACGACTTGACGGAGGCCAGAGAGCTGTCCCGAGCGCCCGTGGTGACCCACCAGTGCTGTATGGACAGGACCCAGGTGTCAGTCTCCTGCCTCTGGGGTGGCCTTCTCTACATTGTCGTGCCCAAGCACAGCCAGCTGGGCCCCGTGCTTGTCACCATCAAGAACTCGGTGCCTGCCCCTTACTACAAACTGGGTGAGTGGCCAGAAGCTGAGGGAAGCGGGCACTGGGGGTGAGTGGTGATTGAGGGCTCAGGAGGGAGGGACAGGGGCCAGCGGGCAGAGGAGGACAGGCTGGTGGCCGTGGAGGCAGACACAGACACCCTGTGTCTCGAGACCTCGGGCAGATCAGCGGCAGGATCTGGGAACCGAGAGACGCCAGCTCACGCTCCTGGCGTCCTCCTGCAGTGCACGCTGAAGTTGTCAACCCAGAGGCAGTTGGGGAAGTGGGGGCGAGCTTCTGTGACTCTCCCCGCAGGGAAGACGCCCCTGGAGGCCTGGAGGCGCTGCGTCCAGATGAGCCCAGCGCCCTGGGGGGAGCTGGCCACAGACAACATCATCCTGACGGTGCCAGCTGAAAACCTGCGGGGCCTGGAGGACCCGGGGCCCGTGCTGCGCGTCTGGGACGAGATGATGCGGGCGATCGCCAGGCTGGGTGCCCAGCCGTTCCCCTTCCGCCGCCCGGAGCGGATTGTCGCTGACGTGCAGATCTCAGCGGGTGCGTGACCCCCAGCAAGCGTCTCCCAGCCGGTGGGGGTGGCCTCGCTTTTCAAAAAACGCTAAGACGTAATCTCGCCAGTAAAAGCAAAGGAAAAGAGACAGAAAAGACACGGACCTGGGTGGGAGAGCAAAAATGCCCAGGTGGGAACAGGTGCATCATTCACAGCGCCGAGGCGAGGTTGTGCCCAGCCAAGGCACCAGCTCAGAGCCTGGGTGCCGGGAGTCTGCCGAGGCTTGGGGGTGCTTTTCAGGGACAGCTGGAGCAGGACTATTGCCTTCGCATATATGTTAGCGTTAGTGATGAAAAGAGTCAAAAATTTGTGCTGAGTATTGAGTGGTTTGGAGGAGACAAAGGCTTAATCCAAGGAAAAATAAGGAAGTCTGGTTCTGATGTGGTGAAATGGCTCTAGACTTGTTTTCTTTTCTTTCAAGACTTATTTTATTTATTTATATATACAAGAGCTGGAGTGCAGGCCAGAGGTTGGGGGGTGCAGTTAGAGGATCCACCGAAGACAGAGCGGGGAGCAGAACAGGCAGATCTACTGAAGTGCACTGCTGAGGGGAGCAGCGGGCGGGTCAGGAGAGGTCTGCCGCGCCCTTGGGTCAGCTCCCCCGCCGGGGGATCGAACTTGTGCTGCAGTGGCAGCTGATAGTCTCAGCGTGCTGAGCCCTGAGCTCTTGTGCACCAGGGAGGCTCTGAACTTGTTTTCTTACCTGTAAGGAAGCACAGGGTTACAGAACATAAAACTGGACAGCAGGAGAGGGAGTGACGCTGCTCTAGCCGCCAGGACCTCAAACCCGGACCCAGGGCATGATGTCACGGATGCACATGCAGCAAACTCATGCCAAGTGTCGGCTGCACCAGGGAGGCTGTGGGCGATGTGTGCACGTCCTTCAGGGCCAGCACGAGGGGTGGCGTGACCCCGAGTGAGGACTCAGGCTCCTTGCCATGTATCTCCCGGGCACCCCGGAGCTTCCAAACCAGTCAGGGCGTGCAGGGTGGTGAGGGAAGCTGCGTGATGGAGAGGAGGGTAGGGAACTGGGCTGGATGGACCCTTCCTCAGGCCTGCTCTTCCTTCTGCGTCCCCAGGCTGGATGCACTCGGGCTACCCCATCATGTGCCACCTGCAGTCCGTCCAGGAGCTCATCAGTGAGACACACATGAGAAGGGAAGGTCTCTGGGGTCCCATCCACGAGCTCGGCCACAACCAGCAGCAACACGGGTGGGAGTTCCCCCCTCACACCACTGAGGCCACGTGCAACCTCTGGTCAGTCTGTGTGCACGAGACGGTCCTGGGCATCCCCAGGGCCCAGGCCCACCCAGATCTGAGCCTTCCGGAACGAGAGAAGAGGTTGAAAACCTACCTGAGCAAGGGAGCCTGCCTGAGTGACTGGGACGTTTGGACGGCGCTGGAAACCTACCTCCAGGTACTGAGCGCAGGAAGGGGCGGCAGCCCCCCTGGCACAGAGCCTCCTTGGGCTCTGCGGCTCCTCCGTCCCCAGCAGCCTGGTAGGAAGGGCCGCGGTGGCCGCCGCCCGTGGACACGAGACACTCGGCTATGTGTGGAGCGTCTCAGGGGAGGCAGCTGTACGAGGGAGGTGATCACACCTGTCCTGCTTAGCTCCCTTGATTTTGTGAAGATAAGTAAGAGGAAGTGGAAAATATTATGGAAAACATGTCCACAGCGATTGGCCCAGGGGGTGAGGACAGAGCTCTGGGGTCGTCATGCCCAAGACTGTCAGCGTCACCCACTGGTTTATGTTTTAAAAGATTAGTTTATTTATGTACATAAGAGTTGGGCTACAGGCCAGAGAGGCAGGGGTGAGAGGACTCCCTAGAGACAGAGTGGGGAGCAGAACAGGTGGATCTACTGAAAACCACTACTGAGGGGAGACCGAAGAGGTCTCCTGTGCCCTGTGGGTCACTCCCTGGCCGGGGATCGAACTCGTGCCACCGTGGCTGCCGACAGCCTCATAGTGCTGAGACTCAACCCCTTGAGCGGCCAGGACTTCCCACCCACGAGTTCTGTCTTGTCCCCTCAGAAATGCTCCGGAAATGCTCGTTGTTTTGCTTGGTTGTTCATGGCCCTTGCTTGATGGGTCACATCCTGCCAAGCAACCAGTCCACAAGGAGGTGGCACAGGAGAGGAATCTGTTTGAACCCACGGTGGTTGTAGAGCACATAACTAACCCACCAACAGGAGAGCTTCATGGCCCTGAAGTTGTCCCCTCGCTGTGAACACAAGAGCACAAGGCCCAGCCCCCAATGCTGCCCTGAGTGTTAACATCTTCAAGGTGTCAAACCTGTGCCCTCTCAGAGCACCTGGGAGGCCGGCCCGGCCCTGAAGCCGGTGTGAGCAGCCCACCCAGGCCAGCGCCCTTAAGGGGTCACGCACCAACGTCAAGCCCCAGACATTGCCCTTCCTTGCCCTCACGGATCCTTTTCTTCTTTCTTTCATTTTCTCAAAGTGAATAAGACAGCCCAGCCTGTGAGATCCTTTGCATTTCCTGGGTTCTAGATTCTTACTGAGCCAGTCTGAGGCTCTAGCGGGAAGGCCCTGAAGTGCGTCCCCACCTGCCCACACAGAAGGGAGCCTGAGTGTCCCTGTGCCGAAGCTTCCGTGGTATCGGCCTGCGTCTCAGGACCCAGCAACACCTCTGATCCCTCCTCCCGGCTCCTCCCGCTGCTGCCTTAATTCTTGTCTACTCCAGCTCCCTCTGCTTGTTCTGGCACCTCACCCCTCCTACAACCAGGCTTCCACACCACTTCCTAGAGAACTTGAAGATTCCACACTCAAAACTCAAGCATTCTCCTCCCACGCAGGATAAAGTCCACCCTGCTCTCCAGGGTGTGGAAGGGCGCGGCCCACCTGCAGCTCCTGTCTGCAGCCCTGTACCCTCCCCCATTGTCACCCTGCAGGTCACCAGCCTGCCCCCCGCCCCCACTGCCCCGCACCCGCCTTGCTGTTCCAGCCTCGGGGCCTCCGTCTCCCCCTTCTGCTGCTGAGACACGCTTGTCCCTCACCTGCCGAGTCACTGTCAAAATCCAGCTCATCTGCCTCCAACACCGTCTCCTTCCAAAGCCAACTGTCAGTCAGTCATGTCCATACCTGTCTCTCCACGATGGGTGACCTCTGGATGGACAAAGAGCTCTTTATTGATTTTTCCAGGATACCTGGCATGGTGGATAGTTAATAATAAGTGTTACCAGTGTAATAGCTGCTTAATTTGTTAATGAATTAATTACTAATTAATTGCTGATGCTACTAATTCATTACTAATAACTGGTTAACTAATAGCCAGGTAAGAAAGTAGCCAAGCAGTGAGGCCACCTGGGGGGAGTGAGGTTCCATCAAGGGGTGCTTGATCAGAGGTGTCTTCTGCCTCCGTTTTCAGACCCAGATGCACAGAATTCTCCCCCATAAGAGGGGGCGGGCCAGGAGACGCCAAGGGCCCTGGTATTCTCCCCCATAAAGAGGGGGTGGGCCAGGAGACGCCAAGGGCCCTGGGCACGGCGCTTCCTGCCCGGCTCAGGTGAGAGCCTCTCTCCAAAGAACAGGAGCCTGCTTCTTTGTGATTTTGCCTCAGAGGCGTTTCCACAGCAAAGTGATGGTCTCGAGAAAACCCCAGGTGTGAGGTGGCTATCAGAAAGCAAGGATTTTATGAGTCTGCAGAGCATAAGGAGTGTCCAGCTTTGGGGGTACCAGTCGGCCAACCATGGCAGGCGGGAGGAGTCCCGTCCTGGCCTAACCTGTCTGAGACCCAGCGAGACACTTAGATCTGGGTGCCACCGTTGCTTTGAAAGCTCCTCCTCCACCGGCTCATTCATTGAGCACGGACATTGGGGTCCCCGGGATCTAGATTCAGGGGCTTCATGGCCGAGAGTTGGCACGAGCCAATGTGTCTTTACATGCAGAAGACGGGGGCAAAGAGCAGGAGGGAAGCGAATGAACCAAGTTGCTGGTGAATACGGTGTGGTGCCCTCTTCAGAAAACATGGCCGCCACCTGCCCCTTCTTGCTCTCCCAGCTCCAGGAAGCGTTAGGGTGCGAGCAGGCCCCTCACTAAGCTTAGGAAAAAGGAAACTATAACCCAGAGTAACTGCTATTTATCGAGAACCTCCTAGAAAGTTATACAAGCACAGACCCCGCCCCTGAGCGAGGCAGGCGTCTCCTGCCCGTGGGTGGGGCGAGTGTCTCAGGGCACAGGAGAGGCTCACCGAGGAGAATGAAATCCGAGTTAAAAGCCGCTGGTAGCTGAGGTTACCGGGGAGCCTTCTGTGTGTGGGGGGAAGGGGGGGCTGCCTTCTGCACGCCAGCTCTCATCCACCCCTTCTCTGTCCTGCAGCTGCAGGAAGCCTTTGGGTGGGAGCCGTTCACCCAGCTGTTTGCCGAGTACCAGACACTCCCCAACCTGCCCAATGACAATGCGAAGAAGATGAACCTGTGGGTGCAGAAATTCTCTACCAAAGTGCAGAAGAATCTAGCTCCTTTCTTTGAGTCCTGGGGCTGGCCTGTCCAGAAGGAGGTGGCCGAGAGCCTGGCCTGCCTGCCTGTGTGGCAGGAGAACCCCATGCGGGCCTACGCTCCCCCCAAGGGTGCCCAGCCAGGCGGGAGGGGCTCCTGCCCTTGAATTCTGCAGCCTGTTTCCCACCTCCAACCTTCTTCAGGAAGGTCGTTAAGGCCCTAAGAGGAGCCAACTTCCCCAGGAATATGCCCTTGTGCCTCACAGACACGTTTTTCTCTGCCTACACTGTTGCATTCACCAAGACGCGCTTCGCCTTCCTCGGCTGCTGGCTTCCATCTTGGCTTCTTGAGGTCTCGTGGGATCGAGTGGAGACCAAGGGTGATGGTGACAATCAGATACCAGCTCTTTGCCCTGCTGGCGCGAGCCAGGCTCCCGGTTTCTTCTGTTGGCTGATAGCGAGTAGGGTTGAGCCTGGACCCAGCTTCGGCGCTAAGAAATTTACTCAGCCTCCTGACTTCTTTGAGCGTGTTGGAACCTCACTGCACCCACGGCGGGGTCACCTTTGGTTCTGCCCCATCCACGGTGGCCTGTCCGTCTAGTGGAGAGTGGGCACCCTGAAAATTGACCCTGCCTTCAGGACTGACCTCCTTGGGGTTATCAGTCCTCGTGTGGGCTGTCTCATGAATGCCTTTCCCTACAGGGCCCTGGTAACCATGGGGGGCACTTCGCCTGTCTTTCAGCCTTTCTTCCACCTCTGGGAGGATCCAATGTAAGCTCAAAAGGCTGTTGTGAACTCTGAGTGGCTGTTAGGTTTGGCATTCTGGGTGTATCTGGACTTTCGACCAGAGGCCACGCCAATGTCTGTCATGTTCACAGGCCTATTTATTCTCAGCACAATAAAAGCAACATACTTCTCTGGTGATCATGGTATTGAGCCTTGCTAAATGTCCGCAGCAGCCAGACTGGGGGATCCCTGCTTCGGGCAGCTTCGCCCTGGAGTGATATCACTGGGTATGCAGCCCCAGGTAACCCACCATCCTGAACCTGCCACCCAGCATCTCCTGAACTTTCTCATTCTGTCATTCCAAGCCGCCCCTATGCTGGCTCCATGGAATTCCCATCAGAGATTCATCTCTGGAATAAGGGTGTGCACACCTGGCCCTTTTTCTCCAAGTTGATTGAAGCCCTAATTTTTTTTTTAAAGATTTATTTGTGCATACAGAACTGGGGTACAGGCCAGAGGCTCAGGGGCGGTGAGAGGCTTCACCAGAGACAGTGGGGAGCAGAGCAGGCAGATTGACTGAAATACATTGCGGAGAGGAGCAGATTGACTGAAATACACTGCGGAGAGGAGCAGCGGGCGGGCCAGGAGAGGTCTGCTGCACCCTGTGGGTCCCTCCCTGTCCGGGGATCGAACTCAGGCTGCAGTGGCTAGTGACAGCTTGATTGTGCTGAGACTAGCCCCTGCGCCACCAGGGAGACCCTGTGTAGCTTTTTAGCTATCCAATATGTAGGTTAGATTAAAATGGTTATTTACAACTAAGCTTAGGATAAAGGAGACCACAGAGCCCAGAGTAACTGCAATTCATCAAGGGCTTACTGAAAGCTATGGACATCCAAACACAGACCCCGCCCTTGAGCAAGGCAGGCATCTTTTGCCCGTGGGTGGGGCAAGAGTCTCAGGGGCACAGGAGAGGCTCACTGAGGAGAATGAAATCCGAGTTAAAAAGCTGCTGGTAGCCAAGGTTACCGGGGAGCCTTCTGTGTAGGGAGGGGCTGACTTCTGCACACCAGCTCTCATCCACCCCTTCTCTGTCCTGCAGCTGCAGGAAGCCTTTGGGTGGGAGCCGGCTGTTCACCTGAAATCACTCCATACTATTCCCCCAAATGTTTTTTGCCAGTGTGATTTGACCACAGTGTGCACTGAACATATAGTTACTGGAAGTGAATAAGAGCTGCGGGATGGAGAACTGAACTTTGTGCCTAGGGTGGCAGGTGCTTGAGGCGCTGAGGCACCTCCTGATTACAGCAACATGAGAAGGAGGTGCTGTGACAGGCAGACGCTCTTTCCAGAAACAGAATGTGCTCCTGGAGACTGACGCTCTACCGCCATAAAAGGTTAGGTTTCATGCACGCAAGTACAGAGCTACCCTCAAGTGTTCCCTAGACTTGCTCCCATGGCATAAGAGGCTCACATGCATCCTCCTCACCTCCAGAAGTGGGACGTCCGCAAACCTACAGGTGTTTCTCTACCTAACTCCATCTGTTCCTTTGAGAAGCAAATGATTTGCTAAAAATGAAAAATGCTCCCCAAGACAATTCAATGTAAGTGTCAGAACAATCCATCCAGACAAGCAAATGCAAGAATTGTTGGCTTGGGCCCGCCCTGGTGGTGCAACAGGCTAAAGCCCAGCACTGTGAAGGTGTCGGCAACCACTGTGGCCACGGTCAATCCCTGGCCCAGGGCTGGCCCACATGGAGCAGCAGCCTGCTCCTGTCCCCCTCGCAAATCCCCTCAGCAGTGGATTTCTTTGATCCGCCTGTTCTGCTCCCCGCTCTGTCTCTGGTGAATCGTCTCACCGCCCCCGCACCTCTGGCCTGTACCCCAGTTCTGTATGCATAAATATTTTTTTTAAAAAAAGGAATTGTAGGCTTGCTCCCGGCAGATCAAGGGAGCTTTACAAAGCATGAGGCTGCCTCGGGTCGGGGTGTTCCTGCCGGAGAGACGATGAGGCTGCCGTGGGCACGTTGGGGGTGCCGTTGAGTCTGTGTGCACCACAACTTCCCTGGCACATCCACGCGACAACTCGGAAGTGGTGGAGCAAGAACTTGAAAGAGCGTTAAATTCTAGATCCAGAGCCCAGAGCTGAAAGAACAGGAATGTACTGTGCTTCCCCGAACTCCAAGAGCTCAAAATAAGCTCAGAAAGGGATGAAATACACAAATGTGCCTTTCTAGGGTGGATGGACTGACTGACTTTGTCATCTGCCTCATGAGGCTGCCTGTGTGGCTGGAGAGGAGCTGTGGGCAAGGCGCAACAGCACCCTCATCCTAAGGGCACACCCTGCCCCTGGGGCCGGGCCCCTTCCTAAGGAGAGACACGGGCAGGGTGGAGGGAGGGTGTTTCATTCTCGGACCTCATGGTTTCTATGTGCCCTTCCGGCAGACGCGGCCCTCTCATACTGTTCCACGGAGAGTGCCTGATGGACGACGGGAGTCACCAAAGGAACGCGATGACCACGCAAACGTGGGCATCCCCAGGACCTGGCTCTGAAGCCCAGACCCAGTCTATCAAACTCCCGAATTTTGTTTCTTAGATCCATCCATGGTTTTCTCTTGTTGCTGCCAGGTTGAGTTGAGTTTCTTCACTGTCCGCAGAATAGGTCAAAGGAGATGCTCCCCTCGCCAGTCCTCTCCAGTTTACTGAAAGAGCAGCGTGACTCCTATTTTCTCACCCGAGACTTGCCTGGAGCAAGTCATCTCCCCATCTGTGGGCTCCAGAGCAGAATGAGTTGGGCTGTGACAACCTTGCGAGTGGTCACCAAGGCAACGTGTCGAGAGTTCCTTGACTCTGAGAACACACGTTCTTGTTTCCAGGTGCACCCTGGAAGGCAGAAAAGGATTTGGACTTTCCAGCTTTGGAAACACACAGGAGTCTGCTCACGAAGACTGAGCACTGGCTCTTAGAGTCTGTAGGTATCAATTTAAAGATCACTTTTTAAAAAAGATTGATTTACTTATGCATACAAGAACTGGGGTACAGGACAGAGGTGCAAGGGTTTGGGGAACAGTGAGAGGATTCACCAGAGACAGAACAGGGAGCAGAACAGGCAGATGGACTGAAATCCACTGCTGAGGGAAGCAGCCGGGAGATAAGAGAGGTCTGCTGCACCATGTGGGTCAGCTCCCTGTCTGGGTTCGAACTCATGCTGCAGTGTCCGTGGACAGCTTCGTAGTACTAAAACTTAACCTCTTGTGCCACCCAGGAGGCCCGATCTGAAGATCATTTCTAAGAGCAAACTCTTTGCCCAGCCGTATCACTGTCTCCCTGCAACTTCATCGATACATCTCATCAGACTTGCCGTTAATGTTTGTTTGATGTTCTCCTTGCTCACTAGATGGTACATTTCATGAAGACAGGACTGATGTCTGAATTTCTCAGTTTTATCCCCCACAGCCACAGGGCCTACACTTCAGAATTGTTTAATAGGTAGATATTTGTGGACTCTATAATGACATGCAAGATTGATTAAGGATTTCCAACTCAAGTTCCCATAGAGGGAATGAAACCTTAATCTCCCCTCCATGGTTTTTCTGCCTCTTCCCTGTCTACATAAATTCTGGTCATACTGGTTGTCCAGATGGACAGGACGTTTCCATTTGTCTTCTCTCCACCTCTTAGGGAAATGTTTTCAGCAAGTTTTTGAGGGAGAATAATGATGGAATCTTTCAGTAATCATCTTTTAATTAAATGCCCCCAGATCTTGGCATTTTATGGTTTCTGTCTTCACAAAGTCCCACACCTGTTTCTTTTCTCTCCTCACTTGAACTTCAGCCACTATTCATTTTGGAAAGACTCATCTTTCCTCTGAGTTGTCACTTCCCCCAGCCCTACTCTGTTATAGAGTTCTGGATCAAATGCATTCCTCTAAACCAGGATGAACCCTAAATCTCCTCATATTATCCACCAAAATAGCTCGAGCTCTCTCCTAACTGGCCTCAAGATGGCACAATAACACAGGCTCTAACTGCTCAGCCTCAGCTCTAAATGGCAAGAGACGAAATCCTTCCAAAACTCTGCTATGAAAAGCCAAAGACAGGCTCCTCCTAAAAGATCCAGGGATGTGGTATCACATGATAGAAGAAAATTAAGCATTTGCCCAGTGCACAGTGCTTCAAAGAGCAGGCCACAGGCATCCTCCAAGTAGAGAATGAGCGTGGCTGATGAAACTCACGAATCAAGAGTAATGCAATTCTACTATATCTGACATAGTCAGTGAATTCACAGGTCACTAAATGTATGATCCTGCCAAGAAATACTTTGAGAAATCCAAGTCCCAGTCATATTTAAGCCTTTGCACATGATAAAGTAGAAACTTCCTACAACAAATCATTATATCTACCAGAAAGCTTCAGCAAGCATTATACACAGTAGCAACAAGTTAGAAGAATTCACATTAAATTCAAGAACTTGAGAAGGATGTTCATTCTTAGTGCTATCTTAGGCACTTCCCTGAGGGTGCCTATTCATACATTATGACAAGAAAAACAGACAAATTAGAAAGGAAGGGACAAAAACACTATTATTTTCAGAAAATATGGTCCTCTATCTTGGAGGTGAACCTAATTGATGTACCAATATCTTGGACCAAACAGGGACCAAGGATAAGTGTAAACTCATGGCTGTGGCTTTTGTTTTTCTTTCTTTTTTTTTTTTTTATCCCTTTAACTGAGATAATGGGAAGAGTAGTCTGGTTTTAGAGAGAATATCAAATTGTCAGTTTGATATATGCGTCTAGACTTCATAGGTTTGGCGTACAGAACAAGAGAACATACTAGATCAGCTGTTTGATGAATGAGTCTAGATTCAGAGCAGGGGTCACATTTGAAAATGAAAATTTAGAAGTCATTGTTGTAGAGATGGCATTCAAAACTTTGGACTAAATTAAATTCCTTAAGAAGAAAAACAGTATGAGTGCTGCAAGCCAACATTTTGAATCAAGCAAATTAGACTGGGAAAGGTTAGCCCAGAAGATAAGAGGTAAATCCCATTCTCACCTTCCTTCTATGGGGAAAAAAATTTTTTTTTTTTAAGCAGACAAGGAAGAGAGGTTGGTGATCATCTTGCTAAATGTTCATGGGGAAATCCTCTACAGTGAGGGCAGCGAGGTGACTTTGCTATCAGTTCTCACGGAA